TCAAGCCTCCGCGGTTGCTGTTTAAGCTTGAAAATATCTAAGTGTAGAAGATAGACAAATATATTTTATTTACCCACGGTTTAGTTTATATGTTTAACAGTAAGTGTATTACTAACTGTTAAACATATCTGTCTTTGAATTTCAAGTACCAAAAGTACAGAAGGGAATATTACAGAGGATAAAGTTGTTAATGAAAGAACTTCACTTTTACATCAAGAGGTAAGAGTGTCTCTGTCCTGTAAGTCCTGTGATATAATTACAGTTGCCCGCTAAACGAGTGTTATGGGATTCCTGTGGACGCTCACTCGGCTCCAATATATGCGCGTCCTTAGGAATCCCAAATTACTCGCCCTTACTCAAGGGAGCACGTTAAAATTTTGATTGTGTTGATTTATCTTCGATTTTATCGCACGTATTCTAAGATATAGCAGGCGTTCCTTGTAGTTCTTGTTTACGTGCGCGCGCTACACTTCATGGCAGGCGTTCCTTGCTTTAGTCGGGCTAGCGAATTTACTCCGAAAACAGACGAATATCTCGTCATTCCCTTCTTACGCGATCGTAATTCGGATCGGCCGAAACCAAAACACTACGAGAAACGCCTGTCACATGGTGGATTGCGCGCGCTAGATAGATCAACCAAGAAAAATAAATTTCTTTACGTAAACGACATTTTAATGTGCTCCTTTGCCTTACTGAGTTTGAAGGGAAAAGTGGGACCGCTCGCAGTCTAGTAGCCAGCCAATAGACGATGTCCGAGGTGCGCGAGCGCTTTTACGAATATTGCAGACACAGTAATGAAAACAAGGCAGAAACAGTTCATCAGAAACCTCAGGTTTGGAAGCCATTTATTTATAGGCGATTCTACAACCCTTGAAGAAAAGATTTTGCTTGAAGTGAGCAATAGGTTTTTTAAAAAGACATAATCTTACTTCCGAACTAAAAGATTAACATCAAAGTATTCCTTTATTAACATAATCCCCAATTTTTGTTTGTATGTTTTCTATTGTGCAAGATCTCGCCCGAAAACACATAGTTTTTGAATCTGAGCCCGTGATACGTTTGACAGCGCTCCCTCATCTCGGAAATCCCTATATTTTAACTGATAATGACTTTTGTAACATATGGGTGTATGTCACTTTACAGGCGTAAGAAATCTACCATGGCCTTCTATGCTATACAACGGGTTGGATCCAAGGACTTTAAAGGAATCTGCATAGACTCCGGAAAATATTTCCGTGAATTTTAAAGTTGTATATACTTCTTTCAATAAAGTTAGTCACCTGAAAACTACACAGCTGAGACCGACAAGGATTATGGGTAGATTCATTTTACTCGTTCAATCGCTTGATAACTGTTTATGGACTTGTACATCTTTTACCAGTTACAGTCTCACCTCTTCTGAGCATCCTCAAGCTGCAGTTTGTATCAAAAAAGCTTTACTTGTTTGGTATGAAAAGTTTCTCATGATCCTCAGTGAAGTCAGCTTTCTAGGTTTTTGGTGACTGACTTTATTGAAATAAGTATCTGATGCGGTTAAAGATGCCAACCTGAGAGAAAATCCCAAACTATATAGATGGATAACAGGATAAATATGGATGAATATATTTTATCAGGAATTCCTTATGAATTTGTCCCGACCTCCATCCATCGACATTTATATTATGCAATATTACTAAAGTGATTCTTGAAAATTTACTAATTTCGAATTCCTTTCCCTAGACTTCTGCTTAGACGTGCGCACGGGGTTCTGGGGACGACTCTGAAAATGATTTAGAAAATAGAACCGGCTGAGCGGTAAACGCGGCGCGCAAAGCATGATTGGACAAATGACCGGCCCTAAGCTTAAAAGAACGAAGCAAACATAGCGGTAAAGTGAAATTGTTTTTATTCTTGCTTATCATATTTCTGCTTTTTGTAGGCATGTATATTATATTTTATTCAAAAGAAAACAGAAAAATACGCAAAAGTTAGGTTACAGTAGCCTGGGAATAAGGGCCGGCGGCAAAACAGGTAAACGCGCAGTGACTGGCTTAAACAAAATTCACCGCTCAGCTGTGACAATGAAATATATATCACCAAGAGAGCATAATAAGAGAGGGAAACTCTTAATAACGCGCGTGCCATGTAAATTCCCGGTTGGGCTATTTTTAGTAACCGGATGCAGTTTAAATTTCGCCTTACCCTACTCCCGTGCGTCATCAACTTGCGCGCATGCGCTCTTTCCGTTTCGTTTTTAGGAATCTGATCAGAACAATAATAAACGCAAAGAGCGCGCGCTCGCAAGTTGATGGGGAGTAGGGTAAGATGAAATTTAAACTGCATCCGGTTACTAAAAATAGCCAAACTAGGAATTTACATGGCGCGCGCATTAGTAAGAAGTTTCCCTCTCTTATTCATGCTCGCTTGATATCACGTAACTGAAAGAACGTCGTTTCACTCACTAACATATTTAAAGAAAATAAACCTTGATATCTCCAAGATCCATCAGTCAAATCACGTACAAATATTTATACCATTCAACTATTCACTTCATGTGGAAGCAATACTGAAAATATTTGAGTTATGGGTGAGGGGCACTTTAATCATAACAGTTCCGTTCAGTGTTCCAAGTCGAAGTTAGTGTTGCCGCGCATGATAAACAAATATACATATACATAGAGTCTATTAAAGACACAAATAAGAAGTTACATAGGTATTACAGTTCAAATCGAAAAACCGTGGGCACCTAGAAACATTTCAAAAATGTTCAAGAGCCAATCAGAAGCGTTATTGTTATCTTTCCGTTATCTTGTGGTTAGAAAGCCAATTCGGATTGGCCAAAGAAGAATAGAACATTCCTGGAATATTTCATCTCGATCCAAAAAAGAGACTGTAAAAATTAATTCTATTTCTTGTTTGGTGGGCTTATTTTTCGAAAACAGCTAAAAACTACTCCGAATGACGTTAAATATCATTTACAACAACACAGGAGCAAGGTATTCTTAAATTTATTTATTTTTAATTACATATTTTTTCGTCCCATACCTTTACTTCAAATGCTATCGTACACATTACGAATACATTGCTTGGGCTGCCTGTGCTAGGCTTAGATTCTGGCGCGTCCTAGCCTGCGTTCAGCCAGTATAATTTTCTTGAAAAAACCGTCTGCGAAACAGCCCAAGAATCCTTGTTCCCCGTGACCCGAAACGAGAAGCGGTTTCTGATCGGCCCTCGCCCGGTTCAATTTTTACGCGATAGCTAGCCTAGCGCGTCCTGGCCTGAGAAACGTTTTGGGTTTCCTGTGGAATTCTTTACAGCTAAGACAAACAAGGAAGACCAAGAGTAAAGCTTGATCAAATAAGCTCTACTTTTATTTCTGCAAGCTTTAACTGTCCAAAATGGAAGGAAATTCTGCTCATGCAAGTAGTTACAGCACGATTCAGCCAACTGCAGCCGCCGAAGATGCTTCTCTTACACAACTGAGCCCTCCAACATCCCCATGGGCAGCTCGAAAAGTATTGGTTTTCTGTTTGCTTTCCTTCGTTTACTTCTTAACGTGGTGCTATGTTGGTTTACTGGCGCCGTTCTTTCCAGAAGAGGTGAGGAGAATACTTCCAATTAGGTTTCTTTGGATCCGTATCATTTTCTTTCTTTACATCTTTAATTATACAGTTGAATGAAAAAGGTCACATCGTTAGCGTAAAAACTCAACAATAGAGAGTTTTAGATTGACTTTTTTTCTCCCCGCAAACGGCAAACGTGTCCACGTTTTCATCGTTTTCCTGTACTTTACTTTACCTTTTACAAACCTTCTCACCAAAGACAAATATTCTTTTGTTTTTCTACTACTTGGACTTTTTTGCGATTCTTTTTAAGCTATTTAAAATAATTTTTAAATGGTCAACTGACGTTTCACGTTTGCCGTGAACGTAAATCTAAAACTCTCTAATGAGCATTGTTCTACCCCGCTATTATGTAATTATAGTAAGCTATTAAACTTATTCTTGGTACGCGTTCCAACTTTGTTCCCCTCGAAACCGAAGAGAAAATCATAAGCAGTTTTTTAAAAAAAATTGATACAGGTAATTGAATTTTGATGAATTCGAGCAAGAGAATCCATGCATTGAAACCGGAGATTTTCGACATACACATACAAATACATACACATGTACATGTATATACACGAGTTGCGTAACACCTGTCAAATATGTTTTCTTTACTTTTCTATTGTCTCGACTAGGATTCCTTCTTCTTAGAGACTCAAATTAAAATAATCTACTTTCTAGCTAGCAAGCTTAACTATTCATAAATAAGGTATAACAATTTATCCTGGAATATTTTTAGGCCAATAAATTTGGGATCAATGAAAGTGAAACTGGTTTGATTTTTGGTGTGTACAGTCTGGTAGCCTTCCTAGCATCATTCATCTATGGATCGTTTCTGGTAAGCTTTGCATCGTTAGAGGGTTTTTTCTCATCTTGAAATAGACCCCTTGCAGCACTTTGGAATGCAGCTCAATCTGCAGGAGAAAACAATAGGTTCCAATTCTCAGGAGATTGGAATTCTTTTGTTTTGTCCCCCAGATCAAGCTGCTTTGATGTTGCATGCAAGGGGTCTATTTGTCAAGACTTTGAGCAGCTGATACAACCTGTCAATCATATTTTCCAGTCCAATACGCGCAGTAGGCAGATCCAGGAATTTTAGAAGAGGGGTGACTATTACAAAGGTTTTGCCAGGAATGGGAGGAAAAGGGCAGGGGGTATTTTTTTAAAAGAAATTTGATTAAAAGGGGAGGGACTAGTCAGCCCCTTTACCACCCCAGGATATGCCCCCTGACTTGTGGCCTTTCCCGAATTCACTTAAATTTAGTGGCCACTAAAGTAAAGGCTTCAGTGGAGGTTGAACTTGATGTGTTCATACATTAACTGTTTTTCATCAAATTGATTCTTGACTTGGAGCCATTGTTTAGTGTGGTCAGTCAAGCTAACTTTGGAAAGATTGATTGATGATACCAGATCCAGGGAAATGCCTGCTCCTTATTTAAGAATTGATTGCTTTATTGTCTAGATTCACAAGGGTGATCTTACTTATTCTATATGTGATACTTCTTAGCTTCCAAAAATAGGTCCATATTTTGTTCTATTTTTTGGTTTGTTTCTAAATGGAGGAGCAGTTCTCATATTTGGGTAAGTCCTAAGCTTCCAAAACAGTTCTGCCCTCCCCCCCCCACCCCCACCTGGAAAAAAGAGTAAATATCCCACTATTCCTATGAGTTGTGGGTTGACTAGAGAAAGTTTCTGTCTGCAATAATTATGACCAACTGACAATTATTGTGTCAATCAACAATTGGCTGATTGTTGGGGTCGGTGTCCACTGGTAGAACGAAGCTTGGGATTGGGCAAAATAACAAAAACAAAGAAAGCATGGATTATGGTGAACAATGTGTATTGTCCTACATGTGAGCTGCGTTCTTTGTTTTATCTCACCATTCATTGTTTGTTCATCCACTCCCAGGCTTTGTTCTGCCTGTTGTGTGTTACCCGATTGTTGGTTGATGATTGTTGGTTGACGATTGTCCAACGCACAGTCACGCAGTGAGCAACTGTCAGTTGACAATGATTCAACTGTTTCTGAGCCAACAATTTTTATTGGATGACACTGTAAATGATTTTTGGGACCAACAACTGTCGGCTGCTCATGAAGTACATGAGTACAGTCGAGCCAGACATACAACCTAATAAGGATTAAATGAAAACTATCCCATTTTTTCTTCTCTAATTAGTCTCAAAGAAAATTACCCTGCTAAAACTTAATTCTGGCTGTTTTTTCATTATAATTATCAAGAACAACATAATGAAAACAAAAGTCACTGAAGTGAAAAGACAAAAAAAAAATAATAATAATGAATAAATAAATATAAATAAAGGCAAAAGTGTTAGCAGATCTAGAGTATAAAAAAGAATGAATTAAACTTGTATGTGTCCAGGTATCTGAACTTGCTGCCGAAGGGTCAGATGTTTGCTGTGTTTTGCTTAGTAACAAGAGGTATTAGTGCTCTTGGGGGATCAGCCTGCGAGACAGCTGTGATGGTCATACTCATCCAGGAATTCAGAGACAACTTGACTACAGTGATTGTAAGTTGATCAATCTCCTCTTTAAAGTTTGTTTTTGTTTTTAGAAAACTAGTCTGTTGGTCTCCCTGTGTCATGGTGAGAAGCGACCAATGATTGGTAGTTTTATTCCCCATGTTAACCAAAGACCGGTTTTGAGTGACGTATTGTAACTGCTTTAAAGTCCCGGGGGGGGGGGGGGGGACGGGGGGTACTCTGCCAGAATTTGGGTAGGGGTGTTCCGCTAGGATTCTGAAAGGGGTACCCATCTTATGACAAAAAAAAATTGTATTTGTAGACCCTGTTTATGACAAAAGATATAATTAATTGCACTGAGTTCCTGTTTCAATTATCATGTCATCTCACGTATCATTTTTTTACGACCATGGTAACCAGTTTC